AGCGATCGCTGCTCGGGGATGGGATGGGCATTGGTCAGTGGGTGGTAAGCAATTGGATTGTACATCACTTATTTTATATACTCCTTTATTTTTATTGTGATTTCCCTTCCTTTTCTGTCCTGTTAAACTGTCTTTATCTCAATCTGCAAATTTTACTTTTTTTTTTTCCCTGATTCTCTCCCTCATCCACTGCGGGGGGACGGGGACAGAGTGAGCAAACGGCTGTGTGGTGTTTAGCTGCCTGCGGGGTTAAAGCAAATACACAGAGCATTTCACTATTCTGGACTAATTAGTATTTCTTTGCAGTGGTCAAGATCTGGGAGAAACGATATCCTGACACAGACAAAATACCACTAGTTCCTCTTCCCTTTTACCCATAAAACTAGTCTTATAATACGAAAATTGATGTGTGACAAACTTTGGCTGAATATCCTTTACAGTTCTTGGACAGAGCACCCATTAATACTTAACAGTAAGAACGTAATGGTAATATTGAGCTTGTCCCAGTAGTTTTTGATACTTTTTTTTTTTGCTAGTATTTGTATACTTCAGCAGTACCTTTCTATTAGTGATTGTTTACAGTAGCAACTGCTGTTCCCTAAAAATGAAAGGTGTATTACAATGTATTTTTTTACACAAAACCAAAAGACCAACAATGTGATCTGGTACTATTTAGTTATGCAAAATATGCACCTTTACATACAACAGAATACTGATGCAAATAATGTCACTGTAATGTTTCACAAGCTTTTCTCCCCACCAGGTCTAAGATAGTAAGGAAAAAAAGCTGTGATGTTTAGTCATCTCTGTAAAGATGAAAAAAAATCCTGTTTGACGCATTATACAACAGAGTAACTAGCCAATATTTATTCCCTTACTCAAACTGGAATTTTATTATCAGCTGATCTTGTTCAGTTGGGCAAGGCGTAACCAAAGACTGTGGAAGGCTTAACCTGCCTCTAAATTATGATAGTTCAATTATAAATGCAAAGTTTTAGTTCCTATTAAATTGTGCATCAAGCAGAAAATCCGTGCTTCAGAAATGTTAGTTTAACCTGTCAATGTAACTATACTTCTGCATACTTTGGTTTGAATTCTTCAATATGGCACAGCTCTGAACATTCTAAAAGATATTATGAATTTCACATACTTATCTAGGACTCCTTTCTTTAGAAAGGCTTTAGTCATGATCTGCAGCACTGTCCCCAGGGCAGTTTGAAGATAAATCTTTGGAGTCTAGGAGATAAGCAGAGGAAAAAGTGAGTAATTCCAGCTCAGAGGATGGAAAAAAAGAAAGTTGCTAGAATTATTTGAAGAATTCATATGAGGCAGATTAAACAGCATTCAAGAAGGTTTGCAAGTTATTAATTCCAAACTTAGTTTTAAAACAGTGAACATAAATTCTACCCTCTTTGGTGCGGTGAAGCTGGACAGTGTTCTAACTGCTTCAGAAACACCTACAAGTTTTTGCAGCTTTTTATGGTACTAGTTTTAGTATCTGAATTTTGTTTTCTCAAAACAAAATTAATATGAATACCAATTCAAGTAAATGCCAGTATGGTTGGTTGGTTTTTTTTTTTTTTGTTGTGTGCATGTAAACACCTAAAAATTGCCTTATAATCAAAACGTACAAAACTTTGTGCAAAAACCAGCAGCCTGAAAGGAAAATTTGCTATGTAGATTTAAAAGACTTCAGTAAGAGAAACATAAAGGATATATTGTACTATTTAAGTCTAGCTGCATAAGCAAAGTAAAACACTTACAAGACAGGTTTACTCCCACCTTCATAGGTTGTTCCACACCAAATGCAGTAAAAGTGTTCTTCTCTCAAATAAGCAGTCAGGATGTGCAGCTTTTCTGATACCTAGAGAAATATGTAAATGTATGCAATGATCTGGGGCTCATGTGACATAAAACAGTTTGAGCTACTAGCTTTGCTAAAACAGATTGTTTAACCTTTTGCTATGGAAAAGCTACACAGTACTGTAGCTCAGTAAGGCATGGAGTTTCCCAAATTTGTAGCATACGGCACAAGAATTCATGACCTCTGGAAAGTTAATGGCTGTTGTTTGCTCATCTTTCTTTCCAGCTAAGAAACCTGCACTGAAGAGAGAGTTAAAAATATTACCTAGCTACCTTATTTCAAGTATATTATATTTTTGGTGGAATCTCTGCAAATCAAACCCGTAAGGCTAACAACAGCTGTGTGATCTAGTTCTCAAAAAATGTGAATTTCCAGTGTCCATCTTGAGATAATCTGTGAAGCTTTTTCAGAAATTATTTGGCAATTCTAGAATTCAGCCTAAGACATGAGATAAGGCATCCAAAATTAAAGCTCAAAAGCAAATAACTTTGATCAAATACGTGATCTTGCATATCTTGGCTAAAACACAAAAATGGTTAGGATTTAGTTTCTAGGCTACTTTTTCCAAAGATCAGCTTCAAAACAGATGAGCAATAAGTCAGTGGTTTAATGTTTTATATTTGATCGTGTAACTGATATAAAAACCACTACTTTAAGATTGCAAAGTGGATATTCACTACAGCTTGGAAAATTACATGTATACATAAATTCTTTATAAGTGTATGTATGCATACATACCTACTTCTTAAAGGAATATTAAATTTAATTCTGAATCAAGCCATTAATTTAGTTGCAGAGCTTACACTTAAGTCTGAGTTTTTGCATTCATCTTCCTTGTCTTCCTCATCCTTTTTGTCTTCCTCTTCAGGTTCTAGCCAATACCAAGTCTCCTTGGGAACATCAATATCCTTAAATAATGAAGGATTTAAATGAAAATTATCTTCCTTCATAGGTTTTCTCGTAAGATGCTGGATAAAAATAATTTCTAATAGGCGAGATGTTAAGTTTTAAAACTTTCCTGTAGAGTATAACCAAGAATTACTAAAGCTGTAGTGGGAAACTAAATACAGCGGTCCACAAGAAGGATTGCTCACTTTTTAAAAAACAAGTAAACGCATGCTAACCTTAAGTTCTATTCCATCTATGTCCACTATGTGTTAAGGCTACACAGCAACATAATCTCAGACCAAGGCTGTGAACAGATACCCTTTTTTATCAGTTGAAGACATGCTGCCCCAAGTTATTTTACCAAGAGATCACACAGTGCTTCCTAATCCATCCCAGGTAAAGTTAAAGGAAGAAGAGTCAAAAAAGATGATCTAAGCTAATTCAGCCAACTCCATCTGGAGCAGACTAAGGAGTATCAAACAATCTCAGCAGAACTTGTGGGGCGGTATTAACCTCTAACAAGTTAATAGAGAAAAGAATAATACTTGAAGTTTTCAAGCAGCAAAAACTTACAGTAGTTCATTGCTATTACCCATGTTATTCCTTGCACGTGGAAGGTACTTTGTTTTGGGTTTGGTTTTTGTTTAAATGTTTCTTTGGTGAACCTGCTGATACCCTCAATGATGATCCTCGTACTTGGAAATACTCAAGAGCTGTCTGGACATGGTCCTGTACCACCTGCTTTAGGTGACCCTGCTTGAGCAGGAGAGTTCGACAAGATGACCTCCAGAGCCCCTTCCAATGTCAACCATTCTGTGATGATGTTGCTCCCTCACTTGAGGCAAACAGCACCATCATTTAGGACAGCCTGACTTTGGCTACTGAAAGATATGCAAACAGCTCAAAAGAAACCACAATAATGCAGGAGCAGAAACAGATGAGCTCTGATGATGCAAATTAACATGGATTTTCACGTAAGTTACAATGAAGTTGGTGTACACTTCCAAATATCTTAATGGTGCAAACATATACTTTGAAATATTTTAAGACGACTGAAGTGTTGCCAAGCATCAAGACTTCAGGCTAGTTATCCCACACTTTTAGAGAACTTCCAAGAATTGAACCCCTACTTCGTTTGTAGCCTATATCTCTAACTTATAAGCCCTCCTTCCAACCCCCAAAAATACAGGTCTCACTTTTTGCATATCTAATTGCTGGCAGGCCCTCTGGCTTTTTCGGAGGTCCCCTTCCATCTTACGCTCTTCTTGTTTGTTTTTGAATCTTATTCTGTTAAGAAAGAGTTGATAGCTAAAATAAGCAGCTAGACAAACAGTGAGAAGCATTACAGTCAATAGCTTTTCTAAAATAGAAAATCTAAGATTCTAGCCCTACTAATTCAGACCAGGACAACGTTGAAGTTAAGAAGTCCTTCTGACATTGTTTCTATGGGTGCACACGTGTATTTCTTGGGAATTACGCCTTCAAGACAGTGCTTTTTTTGATCACACTACACTGAACACTTTCTTCACCAGGTTTTTCATAAGACAGGGAAAAAGTGGTTCACTAAACATCTGCAAAAGACACAGCCTTCCCTTCTTCACATATAACAACCAAATCAGGAGAAAATAAAAACAATAAAACCTAAACAAATTTACACTGATTTTTAAATGACTGTAGCAACATTGCTCAGGATTACCTGTGGATTTTATACTAAAAACGATGACATAGTTCTCTGATTTTAAAAAGTTGCAAATTACTTGAGAAAACTTAGTATCTATATTTGCATTATTAACATTTACAAAAATAAATGATGCAGCACACACTTTTAGCATTACAGCATTCATCTGCTTTTGCTTTAGAACTAAGAAACAATTACTATATTTCAACTGTATTTCAACTCTTACCTCTCATTCAAAACATTCAAAAATAGTAACACATTAAAAGAATAACCAAACTTAAAGCATAGAAAGAATCATTGTTTATAGACATTCCTTGAATATCAGTTACATCATTTTACCTGAACTGATCTGCAGCTTGTTCGTTTGCTTGTTTTTTCATATGGAGTTTTTGTCTATAGTTTTCCAGTTTTTCTTCAGCTTTTCGCTTTTTTAATTCCTCGTGACCAAGCCCACTTCTGCCTATGTAAGTTCAAAAGATGAATGTAAGCAGTTGAGAAGCTCTGATACCCAACTAAGTAAATTAGGAAGTATCACAAACCTGTTTTTATGTTCAGAGGAATAGGTTCAACAATGCCTTCTCCTGTGAGGGAAAAAATAGGTCCATTTGAGAAATCAGGTCTTTCTCAAACTACGATTTCTGCAGTATATTTAAGCAGGCAAGCTGCTTTTTCCATTAAATATGCACATTTTCTTGTGATTTTGTTGCTTGGAAGTTGAAAAATCCCAAATCGATGTACATTTAGTGCATTACAAATGACCCAGCTGAACTGGAACTCCCTCTCTTTTTTGGCTTGTCTGCTGGATTGCTGTATACTTTTTTCAGGACACTACCCAACTGAAAGAAAATGGTGTTGACTTGACAGGTATAACATAGTTGTGATGGAGACTGCTTTGTTACAGCCTTCAGTAGCATTTTTCATTCTAGAGTCTCACAACTTGACAAAGATGAAGAATAAAAAGAATCTGTCTGGACCACTTAATTTGCCAATTGTCTGCTAGAGACATGCTGAACTAGCATAGCAATTACTGATGCTTTGTTTTACTGATTTTACTTCATCTACTAAGGCTTCATAAGAATAGGCCAGTGTGCACCATTTCTTCTTCAGAATCCAACTATAAATTCAAAGACAGGTATAGACTTTTTTAGGTTGACTATTAGCTTTGCAAGACCATCAAAACACTCTGAATACAATTCCTGTAGGCATGCGCATATGGAAGTGCATTTACTGAGCAGCAAGTACTGCCGCTTCCCTCGCATCTCTCGACAGTCTGCACCGTTTTTATTTCAGTTTTTAGAGATTCGCTCTCATCTTTTGTTTTGCCACACCACATTCACAGTTCAGTAATGCTAGGGCTCTGAGAGAGGCATTCATTGACCCTGTCTACAAATGAAGTGGCAACTACAGTCTGTAAAATATAAAGGTACACCCAAATAGAGGCACACGCTTCCAGACAGTGACAGGCTTACCGCTTTTGCCAAGGGCCTGGCCACTCTTGTAGCCCATCTTCTGGAGCAAAGCAAAGCCTTTGTTCTCATTGCCCAATGCACTTTTCAATACCAAGTCACGTCTCTCTTTTTCCTCTTCTTTTATACTCTTTTGTCTGTTCTTCTCATTGGCTTCTTTTTGCTTTTCTTCTTTCTGAAGAGCCTCCTTCATCCGCCTCACCATGGGCAAGCCTGGTCTTACATCCTGTCTAAGAGTTAGTAATTCCAGCAAGTATTAGCATTTTTTTTAACGTGTTTACCATCACTTAAGAAGGAAAAGAAGAGCTACCTACTTAATAAATAAGTCAGACATGTAATCTTCCTCTTCATCTTCCTCCATGTTCAGCACGCATGCCCCGTTCCGGCCCCTTTCCTATGAACACCGTCAGTGCGCTCTCTCACGCGTCTTATTTCTCCGCAGGCTACCTGAAATGCAGAATCCGCAAGAAAA